TTGAAAGCGTTTAATGTAATTAGAAAATGAGTAATTTCGAAATGAATTTCATCAATTTATTGCTTAATTTTAAATATATTCGAAAATATATTTCATTTCTTCGTGGTTTAATTGAAATATTTTTTAACCCAAATATAAGTTTCATTGCATTTTCATCATTGTTATTGTAATATTACAATACTAATACTAAAACTGTTGTTAAAAAGTATTAATAAATGGTTTTTTCTGCATTTGAAAGCGTTTAATGTAATTAGAAAATGAGTAATTTCGAAATTAATTTCATCAATTTATTGCTTAATTTTAAATATATTCGAAAATATATTTCATTTCTTCCTGGTTTAAGTTTGAAATATTTTTAAACCCAAATATAAGTTTCATTGCATTTTCTATCATTGTTATTGTAATATTACAATACTAATACCAAAACAGTTATTAAAAAGTATTAATAAATGTGTCTTTCTGCATTTGAAAGCGTTTAATGTAATTAGAAAATGAGTAATTTCGAAATGAATTTCATCAGTTAATTGCTTAATTTGAAAATATATTTCATTTCTTCGTGGTTTAACTTTGAAATATTTTTTAACCCAAATATAAGTTTCATTTCATTTTCTATCATTGTTATTGTAATATTACAATACTAATACTAAAACTGCTGTTAAAAAGTATTAATAAATGTGTCTTTCTGCATTTGAAAGCATTTAATGTAATTAGAAAATGAGTAATTTCGAAATGAATTTCATCAATTAATTGCTTAATTTTAAATACATTCGAAAATATATTTCATTTCTTCGTGGTTCAACTTTGAAATATTTTTTAACCCAAATATAAGTTTCATTGCATTTTTTATCATTGTTATTGTAATATTACAATACTAATACTAAAACTGTTGTTAAAAAGTATAAATGTGTTTTTCTGCATTTGAAAGCGTTTAATGTAATTAGAAAATGAGTAATTTCGAAATGAATTTCATCAATTAATTTCTTAATTTTAAATATATTCGAAAATATATTTCATTTCTTCGTGGTTTAACTTTGAAATATTTTTAACCCAAATATAAGTTTTATTGCGTTTTCTATCATTGTTATTGTAATATTACAATACTATTACCAAAACAGTTATTAAAAAGTATTAATAAATGTGTCTTTCTGCATTTGAAAGCATTTAATGCAATTAGAAAATGAGTAATTTCAATGAAATGCATTTTAATTGCTTAATTTCAAACAAATTTGGAATCTAAATAGAAATCAAGTACAAATTTCATTTGATTATTATTATTGCATAATTATTAATAATTGTGTGTCCGATTAACGTAATTAGAAAAAGAAAATGATTAACAATCGACAATGGAAAGAAACGAATGGAATGTTTCAGTAATTGCGACGATGTAATGAACGGAACAACATCACGTGTAGCCTCAATTTGCATCGGGTGAATGAAAAATTTTCGGTTTTTTGAATACGCAGATTTCACGGTCTGATCTCGAAAGAAAGTGTGCGTCCAAAACGAAATTGGATCGCCAAAATTTTGCATTACTCCCACAGTTTCACCGTAAACCAATTTTTGCTATTATTTTCTACTACTAATTACGTTTCGCAAAAACTTTGTTTTTGCATACAAAGATTTGTTTTTCCGAAAGAAACTGGATGTGGCAAGAGACCATGACCAAAATGCATGCATGCTAATCTCGACGAACATCGACCATTATTGTTTCGTTTCCAACAATCGAGTAATTGTTTTTCGAATTCGTATTTTTTCTTGTTGTTGTTGTTGTTATCTTAATTAGTCGACTTTCATTGGGGCTCGAGAAATAGGTTATTAAATTAATATTTATTTGGAAAATCTCTCTTCGATGAGAGAAATGCTTCGTGGAGGAAAAACTGGAGTAATGGTTTTATAATCGACTTTTGATTTGATTATATTGCAATTTCTTTTCTCTCATATATGTATGTTTTGTTTCTGCAGATTTACCGACGCGGCAGAACGACAAATTCGTGAATCCGTCGTACCCGTACGTCCGCGGAAGCGGGAACAACATCGGGCCTGGTTACACGGAGGACAGGATCACGGATTTCGGAAGACGATGCTCGGAACGGCTCGAGGATGCTCTGGATAATATGCGGAGAAGGCAGGCGGCTAAGACGCAGAAGACTCTTCATCTGAACGGATACACGCTGCATCAGCAACTCAGATCCGTCCCTTACGACATGTACGTCACCGATATGAGGGTGAGATTGCCGTCATCCAACAGTTGGGTACGAGTGGATAATTGCAGGTAAATCCTCGTTTTCAAACGGCTATAGTTGAGCTATAATTAATCAACTTTAAGATACAATCCGCGCAACAACAGCTTGGAAACACGGCTTTTATTCAACGATCTCACCATCAGTGGAAAAGTAGCTCTGTTCAACGAAGGCGAACTCCAAAGAGAACCAGTCCATCCCAATCCAGACGATTCCTGCAACATGATCTTAAGATTAAGACGCGCCGGAATTGGGTATTACCTTCAATTACCTCAACAGTCAGAAGATTACGATTTTTACAATTTTCAGATTCCACACTGAACCAATTCGGAGGGACAGAGGTCAATTCAACGTTCGCACGGATTCGCACTTCCTGGAACCTGGTTTCATCAGCGTCTATGCTTACGGTTGCGATAGAAGATTGCATTTCCGGGAACACAGACGCAACTTTAGAGAAGAAGACGAAGAGGAGGAGGACTTATCCAGGGAAATGGAGGACATCTTTTTGAAAGGGATTCGCTCGCTTCTGACCACATACATGCAGAAAGAACTTCAACCTGCCATCAAAGAGACGCTCATGACCAACATGGGATACACCTTATCCTATGGTTGATCTTCAAATACACAAATTTACGTTGTCCGCACAGAAGAATATAATACCTCAGCGTTCCAATTATAATTACATAATTTGTTTCGAATTATTCTGTATATATGTATGTATTAATGAGGTATGAAGGAGCGAAAGATTCGTACTACTATCATTGTTATTATATTAAATTGTACGATATATTAAACTTAATTATTATAATTGTTAATTAAACGAAATTTAAATTTTAATACTTTGCCTTTTTATTACCAATCGTTACGCAAGTCTCTTGAGTATTCAATGTGTCAAGTTGAATAATAACATTGGAAATCAATAATTCCGTATATGACACTTCATTCTAGTATGGAATACAGTTTTAATTAGTTGTAATTTCCTGATATTGGTAAGTACATCTGCCAATAATCATTTGCAGGATTTGAGTTGCCGTTAGTATTGTACCATCTGCAAGTCTAGTTGACTTAATTATTAGATAATTTGCTATTATACAATCTTAAATAAAGCGACAAAATGTGTTTTTTTTTTACATTTTTATTCAATAACTTTACATTAAAAGTTGAACAAACAAGACTGCCGATCTAAACGTCTCATTACAAAAAATACCGTACGATTTAATAAATATCCTAGATATACAATTATATATATCATATTACAAAATTTACACGTTGAACAGTAAAATTCTTCACAAATCGCTTTAAGTGTATAATAATAATAATAATAATAATAGTAGTAGTAATAATAATAATAATAAAAAAAATTATAAGATCCCATCGAACTTCTTTTTTTTTGTTTGTTAAATAACAAGATTGCTTGCATGAGCCGCCTTCCACGTCCAATTTATATTTATTAAAATATAGATATTTCATTATATAATATTTCAATCAGTCTATTTGCTTACATAATTCATCCGAGTAAAAAAAAAAACAACAACAAAAAGCGACGGATCACACACGAGAAACAATAATCATTTGCCCGAAGGATAAACGAAAATCGGAAACGTCACAATCATAGTGAACACAACAACGACAAAAGGAAATGTTTCTTTTTTTTTTCTATAAAAATGTACCGCAAGGGAATCTTTTGTTGTGCATTTCGCACGGTGTTAAATGTTGTTAAATCATAATTACGTTACATCTTATACAACTGAAAGTATTTATATCTAGTTAAACGTTTCTCTCTGTCCGATGTGTCTATGTGTATGATTGAATCAATTGAATGTTAATATGTATACAGAAATCAATTAATGACTATTTCTGTAATGCTAAAATTAATCATGTTTCGCCAAATCCACGAATAGAATGAATAAAAACGTATGTTACAGGACTCGGGGGGGATGGGAGTTTTTTTTTTTCATAAAGGGGGATTGCAGGGATTAAGAGTTTAAGAAGAAATGGATTATTTGCTTCGGACCGTGTCTGCTCTTCTGTAGAACAGCAGATAGGGTACACGGGTGCCGTGAGGCTTAAGCACTTGCTCCTCTTGGACGGCGTTCACAGAGACATCGTCGTATCTTATCCATCTGGCGTATCCAACGTGGTAAGCGTCGGTGATGAAGTGTCCCTTCGTCGCTTCCTTTCCGTCGTGATAGACGACGGCAAATAATTTATATTGTTTCTCCTTTGGTTGATAATTCGTTTTCGAAGAGAGCAATTCTAATATTAAAAACAAAAAAGAATTAATATTCAAATAGTCTGTATCAGAAATATTATACTTACTAGAATCTATTTTTAGATCAACTGGAAACTCTAGTGCTTTGATGATTTTCGTGCATCCTTCAGGTTTGAAATCGAAACATTTTAAATGCAAGACCAGAACAACAGGCAACTCCTCGATGGTCACCTGTTGCCAAGCCTCGACCTCTTCGTTCGTCTTCGACGAGGTCACGCCTTCCAGCTGGTTTTTCGTCACGAGTGCTTCCAAAGCCTCGCAAACCGTGTTCACTTTCTCGATGTTCAATTGAAGGGTGAAGAAAGGTTGGATGTTATCCGTGATTTGATCGCCGGCTCTGTGCAGCCTCGAACGAATGTGACCACCGAATATATCGCTGATTGGTGTACGGGTCACTTCGGTGCGACGAGTCACGCAACCTTTGTTCTTCTTTCCGATAAGCTATTAAAAACAAACAATAAGTAAAAGCAGAATTGAAAATGATGTGCTTCAAATCACTCACTTGCCAATCCTCCTCATCGATTTCCTCGTGTCTTTCTATAACCGTGTTTGTTGGCATATCGTCTTCCACTAATTTCATTAACTGAAACAATTCCGAAAGTTATCAAACATTGAAAATATGATTATATCACCAAATTTACCTCCAACATCTCATCGTTTAATCCATTCAAGAGACAACCCAAGAATTCCTCAGCATCCTCTTGCCTTCCCTCCACAACAAAGGAATCGCTGCGCATACCATTCAACATCTTGTATATCCAATACGGTTCAAACGGTCTATCGCAATTAACCGGCGTGCTCTGCTCTTTCTTCTGCACCTTATTATCCACTCGTCTTGTAACCCTTTGGTTGGGCCTCAAATGTCTAAACTCGCGTACAAATCTGACCCTAAACCAAAAAAGATTAATCCAAATTCTTAAAAACATAAATCTCCACTTACATGTTATCAATAACTTGGGAATGTTTCCTAGTTTCCGTCGTGCTGATATTCATCGTTAACGCGCTCAAAAGATTATAAACTGGCGGGCAAGCGAGCATCGCTTGCAAAATGGAATTGATGTAACAGTAATTACTGTGATTGATCAACCCCCTCGGCTGTACGCTCGTTATGTTATGGTCTAATTTACGACTCGCCAAGATTTCTAGGAAAAAAAAAACAATTAAATAAATAAATTTTGCAATCAATTAATTAATGGAATTAAACTCACCAGCCATACGATAATAGTTGGGATCGTCGAATTGCGTAGATTTCATGTGGAAAATGTTCTTTGCATTGTTATTGTTCTGGTTGGGTTGGGGGAAAGGTGGAATATCACTTGGCTTGTTTGCATTTGCCAAACAGTTGTTGCTTGCAGCCTGCAAGGCGTTTCGATTAAACAGACTGGCCCATGACTTTGAACCATCTGATTTATCGGCTTGTGTTTCTGTAGCATTTCCGTTAGTTATATTTACATTATTTACATGATTTTCCACTTCACATTTGTGTTCATCTTTCTCAACCACTGGTCCGGGCTGCTGTGCAGGATATGTAACTGGATATTGTTTATTTACTATAATAGGTGCTGGAATTACGGGCACCACAACTGGGGCGTTCACAGCTACAGTTGGTGGTGTGTATTGTTGTTGTTGTTGTATGGTCGGTACAAAAGTAGTTGGGTAGATGGTTAAAGGTGGCTGATAATTGGGTGGTGGATATATGACAGGATTGATGTGATTGGGCAATGCTGCTGCATTGTGTGGGGTAAAAGAATTATGGCAGTTTGCCTGAAAGCCTGTTGCATGGACATTGGAAACTGAAAATATGAATACAATATATATATTATTAAACTTGTCCATAAAAAAAATAATTATGCATGTACAACTCACCTCTTTCTTTCACTGCCTTGTTCCATGGTCCTTTCACAGTATTATCTACTGTCTTCAAAGAACTAAGTATCCACTGCTTCTCAACCTCATCCACTCCACTCAAATCCAGAAACTGGATGTTTAACTAAGAAACAAACAAAACAATATCATTAAGTTGTTCTGGCACAGTCACTTCCAGCAAATCATTCAGCACTGAACAACTGCTTGCTAATTAAAATCAAGTATACTTACAATATCATAGTAAGCCATGATCACTTTTTGATGCACTTATCTTGTATCCATTTCTTCACTATTTACTCATTTTCAAAATGTGTTAGGGGTTAGGTTTTCACGTTTTCATCAAAGATGAAGTCGCTGTCGGCTTCCTGTCTTTCCCTTATGGCATTTGTCGAATATATAACAGATTTGGAAGATTCCATGGAATAGTATTTTCAGGTTCACCAACACTTACAATGTTACTAGTCCATACCAACCTTACCAATATTCAAATTCACAATATTTTGTCTTATTTATACATAGAGATGGAGCTGTAGTTCTTACAAAAGAAAAAGAAGTACATATTTGAAATATGTGCTTATTAATTACACTATACAAGATTTTGTTAACTAAATTAGAATTACATAACATATTAAACATGGGATTCCCATATTAATTAACATTAAAAAATGCTATAACATTTCTAATTTAATTGTAACAAATGTATATGTTTTAGTCCATTTTTTAAATTTTGTTAATACATTTATATTAAAGATGCTAAAACAATGTCAGAAAAATAATTGTAAAACTCTCATTTGTAATTTTTTAATATCCTTAAGAAGCCTATGAGTTGTAAAGACAATTTGTATAAGCAACAAAAAATACCTGAACAGGTGCAGAATCCTTTCTGATAATTGTAAAGTTTGCTAATAAAATATACTTTTGGGAAAACATATTTCTCTATTTCTTAAGAAAATTTCAAATAAGTTAAGTTTTTATTTTTAAAGTCTGTTTTTACAAAAAGTTACATTACAAAAACTGCAAAGATTTACCAAAAGTATTGTTGATAAAATTGTGAATATTGTTAGTTTTAAAGATTTATCGAATCTAAAACTATGTACGAAATGGAGAAAAGCGATAATTTTAAAATATTAACAGATTTAACACATTTTTTCTTGGACCATAGATCAGCATGCTACACATTTGTAAACACTAAAACTGTGAAAAATATACTTGACCTGAAATTGCACATATCGAAAATGTTGAATATATCCAATTTTTATTTACAATTTAAAGAACATTATTTACCAGAGACTGAAGATATACAATTACTAAAAGAAGGTGACGTTATTCGGTAAGAGTAAATAATTATATTATAGTTCTAATAATAATTAACTTTATTAATTTTCAGCGTGATTAAAATGGAAGATCAGCAAAGATCATCAAACCAAAATGAGTTCAATCCAACAGCAAACAGCACTTTATTGCATGCGAAAGAGCAGTTTAATGGAAGCCAAGATTTCCAAGAGAAAATATCATATTTTGAAAGAAAAACTCATACAGATGTCCATAGCGATGATCTTACAGATGACAAAACGTTTAAAAGCAAATTGAACAAGGTCTTGGATAAGCAAATAACGAAATGTAAAGAACAAATTAAAATGTCTACAAGCTACAACACTCCTATTAATAGGTTTAAATTGCAATGTGTTAAACCCAGAAACTTTAAGAGCTCTTACTCTACTATTTTTAAAAATGATGGACCTCAATACAGTTCTTCACTTCGACTCTATGATGTTACCATTGAAAAACCAAGTAGTAGCCTTCCGAAAAGAATGTGTACTTCTCTAACCATATCCAAGTTAGAAAACAAAGAACTATAAATTCATTTAGTGCTTTAATGTTTATTGAAATATAATGCTAGTATTATATTGTTATTGTAAAATGTAATTATTTATTTATATTAATTTGTTAGTTTATAATATATAGAGGACTCAATAATTGTTATATGTTGATGATAATAAAAGAAATTTGGTTACATTTGTAAAGTGTTTATTAAATTGCAATACATATTTAAATAATGTGCATAAGAATACTGTACAACTCTAAAAGTCAATCATTTACTATATAATTTATTGATAGCAAAATTCTAAATTTTCCTTCATCCAATATAATGGGACTATGTATTGTATTCGTTTGACATCAATATCGTGTTATCAGGGTTTGTGTATGATGATACATATCCCAGAACAATGCGGCTGTTGAATAATGTGAGCAGTGAGAATACGGCAAAGGCTACAACATCTGTAAAACATTAAGGATATAACAACTTACAACAACTTTTGGATTAACTTAAATTATTTGTTAAAGGATACATATCATTGATTCTTCCCACTTTTCGACCATGTAAAGTTCAGTGACTAGGGTGTATCTGAAATACCAGTAGGCAATGAACTTCCTGAGGGAATCAAACATGTTGGCGTTTCGGTTACACCCAAAATTAATCAAACAGTTATAGTCAACCAAACGCTTGCATCAATTCAATCAATTAACCAATAAGCAGAATCGGATTTGACAACTTGGACAGAAACGTCATCTGTCAAAGAAGCTGCAATCAACAGGTAGATTCAAATTAATTAAATATTTCAAAGCGTTTATTCTAAATGTTTGATAAAGTTAGAAGTATATTTGCGCATGGCGTGAACATTAAACATTCCTTATTAAAAGTATTGATATATCGAATCGTTTCTTATAGAATCGATGGTAAAAATTACTTGTGTTTTAGGTTGCAATCAGTTGTGCTGAGAATGGTTATGCTGTGTGGTTCATAACTCCACAAGAGATAAATTCGTTACCTGATAATCTTCCAATACCTGATACTGAAGTATCAAAGCTTCTAACGTTTCTGTGAGTACATTTGAATTAAATAATTGTAAACTTATATTTTTGGTAATTTTAGGTATTTAAAGGATTATTCAGATTTCTTAAGTATCTTGCATGGTATTCATGGTTGGAACAAGATCCCGAATATAATAATAGTTAATTCATTAAATGTTTATGTGAGAGAAGACAACAATGATTTTGTTTCAGCAGCTCACATTATATCAAATGTAATTTCTGCTGGGATGGTTTGTGCTAAGAAACACAAAGATAACAAAGCTATGGTCCTAATGGGATGCTCAAATATAGATTTCTATAAGAAATTCATCGATTTGCATTGCTCCGAAGTTTTCAACGCGGATTCTAATGATTTGGGTTTAATTGTAAATGGTTAGGTAACCAAATATACTTATAATTTAAATTCCGTTGCTAATTTCAAGTCTTATAGGATAGGATATTGTCAAGTTGGAAATGTCAATTTGACGTAAATTGTAAAACATCCTGTGGTTTTGTTGGAACGTTAATTACGCCTGTAAATTCAAAAATATGCTCTTCCTGGTGTTTGTGTAATCTGCAAGAGTGAAGACCCGCACCTCCGATGACATCGCTCCTGGAAAACGCAAAGGTTTCGCGATTATCAACAATTTATTTACACGTCATTTAAAGATGGTCCCTTCTGAACATATGAAGGGTCTATAATACTACAACTACGTTCCTAACAATGAGCACTAACTCCAAAACAAAAGAGATGTTTATATTGAGGGCTCTTGAGAAAATCCTTAATGACAGGGATATCAAACGTTCCAACCACTCATCCCTGAGGAAAGCCTGTGAGACTGCATTAGGTAATTAATTGCTTTAGCATAATTTTGTAATCGTTGCTCAACACATGCTTTTCTTGTAGATGAACTAAAGAAGGAATTGAACGAAGGGCAGAATGAGGAGAAGATATCAGATGCACTCCCTGCACCAAAAAGTGGGGATGCTAATGTCCTCACAACTGAAAAATATTTCCTGCCCTTTGAGTTAGCCTGTCAGAGCAGATCCACAAGAATTGTAGTCACAGCATTGGATTGCCTGCAAAAGCTGATAGCATATGGCCATTTGACTGCAAATGTCCCAGATTCTACAACCCCAGGAAAACTGTTGATTGATAGAATAGTTGAAACAATCTGTGCATGTTTCTCTGGTCCACAAACAGACGAGGGTAAGGATTGCATAATTATTAGAAAGTTAATGATAATTAGATTTCTAATTATGTAATAGTAGAACAAACATTGCATTGCTTGTAAATTCCAGGTATTCAGTTGCAAATCATCAAAGCCTTACTGACAGTTGTCACTAGTCAACATGTGGAAGTGCATGAGGGAACTGTGCTTTTGGCGGTACGCACGTGCTACAACATATTCCTGGCCAGTAAAAACCTGATAAACCAAACAACAGCGAGGGCGACCTTGACTCAAATGCTTAACGTAATATTTATGAGAATGGAAAATCAAGTTATCGAAGCCGAAGTGCAGATGGAAAATCGCCTCAACAAGTCGTTGAATGAGAGCGCCAAGTTTGAGGAAGTCGTCGAGGAAATGAGCAACGTCGAATTGGCCAAAGAGATAGTAGATGAGGTTGTGAAAAATGCTATTGCATTTGTGGAAGGCGAAAAGAATGGTGCAGTTGAATCAGCTGAGAGTGTTACCTGTTCTGTTCAAAGGTAAATCTTGAAACAGAAAATGTATACATTTACCATAACAATATCTTCTTGCAGGATACCATCTCAAGAGAGCGTTGATACACACAGTGAAAGTGATACAGCCATGACCGCCAAATTTGGACACATTCTTCAGAAGGACGCCTTCCTTGTGTTTCGCGCTCTTTGTAAACTATCCATGAAGCCTTTACCGGAAGGCACACCGGATCCCAAATCGCATGAACTCCGTTCGAAAATACTATCCCTCCATCTGCTGCTGTCCATTCTGCAGAACGCGGGTCCAGTCTTTCGGTCCAACGAGATGTTCATCACCGCAATAAAACAGTACTTATGCGTGGCTTTGTCCAAGAACGGTGTCAGTTCCATCCCGGAAGTCTTTGAGCTGTCGTTGGCCATCTTCTTGGCTTTACTGTCAAATTTCAAGATGCATTTGAAGATGCAGGTTGAGGTATTCTTCAAGGAAATATTTTTAAACATCTTGGAGACGTCGAGTTCATCGTTCGAACACAAATGGATGGTGATACAAGCACTGACGAGGATATGCGGAGACGCCCAAAGCATTGTAGATATCTACGTGAATTACGATTGCGATTTATCCGCTGCGAACCTTTTCGAACGGTTGGTCAATGATCTGTCGAAGATTGCCCAAGGAAGACACGCGCTGGAATTGGGCGCTTCTCCGAATCAAGAAAAGTCCATGAGAATTAGAGGCTTGGAATGTTTGGTTTCGATTTTGAAATGCATGGTAGAATGGAGCAAAGACTTATATGTAAATCCTAATTTACAGTCCACAGTTGGTGAGCAATTGGCGCCAAAAGAAAATGATACCACTTCACTGAAATCGCACGGTGGTTCAACCAGCAGTTTGCATTCCAGCGGGGGATCCAGCTCAGGTAACAAAGAAGTGCTGGATTCTCCGGAACAGTTGGAGGTTTTGAAGCATCAGAAGGAGGTTTGGGAAACTGGTATTGATCTGTTCAACAGGAAACCGAGAAAGGGCGTTTCGTTTCTGCAGGAACAGACTTTGCTTGGTACAGCGCACGTGGAAATTGCAAAGTGGTTGCAGTCCGAGGATCGCTTGGATAAAACTTTTATTGGAGACTTCTTGGGAGAGAATGACGATTTATGCAAGGAAGTGATGTACGCTTACGTTGACTTGATGAATTTTGCTAATATGGATATCGTGGCAGCTCTGCGGCACTTCTTGGACGGCTTCCGGTTACCTGGGGAGGCCCAAAAAATTGACAGGTTGATGGAGAAGTTTGCTAGCAGATATTGCGAATGCAATCCGAACAACGGCCTATTTGCAAGTGCGGATGTGGCGTACGTTCTAGGTTTTTCAATCATAATGTTGACCACCGACTTGCATTCGCCGCAGGTCAAGAACAAAATGACCAAGGAGCAGTACATTAAGTTGAACCGCGGTAATACCGATAGCAAAGATGTGCCGGAGGAGTATTTGTCGCAGATTTACGATGAAATCGCTGGACACGAAATCAAAATGAAGAATACCGTGAATAAGCCTGGCAAGCAGCAGATAAACAGCGAGAAGAGAAGAAAAGTGTTGTTCAATATGGAGATGGAGATGATTTCGTCAGCAGCAAAGAATCTGATGGAATCAGTGTCGCACGTGGAGTCACCATTTACCACAGCCAAACATTTGGAGCACGTACGGCCCATGTTCAAAATGGCATGGACTCCGTTCTTGGCCGCCTTCAGCGTGGGGTTGCAGGACTGCGACGATCCTGAAGTGGCGTCGCTCTGCTTGGATGGTATACGTTGTGCCATAAGGATAGCGTGCATATTCCACATGTCTTTGGAACGAGATGCTTACGTACAAGCACTTGCTAGATTTACTTTGCTCACTGCAAACTCACCCATCATGGATATGAAAGCGAAGAATATCGATACAATCAAAACACTGATTATGGTCGCGCACACGGATGGAAATTACCTTGGAACCAGTTGGTTGGACATCCTGAAGTGTATTTCTCAATTGGAATTGGCTCAATTAATCGGAACCGGAGTGAGACCGATATTCCTCTCAGGTTCCGGCCATAAACCGCCTGATGCTAGTTCCAAAGAGCACATTGGTCAAACTAGTTCGCAGAGCGTTGTCGTTGCCGTCGACAGAATATTCACTGGGTCCACGAGATTGGACGGTGAAGCAATCGTGGATTTCGTGAAGGCGTTATGTCAGGTTTCGCTGGATGAGTTAGCGTACAACGGTCATCCTAGAATGTTCTCTCTGCAAAAACTAGTGGAGATCTCCTATTACAACATGGGAAGGATCCGTTTGCAGTGGTCCAAAATTTGGCAGGTCCTCGGCGAGCACTTCAACACGGTGGGGTGTAATTCCAACGAGGAAATATCGTTTTTCGCCGTGGACAGCCTCAGGCAGCTGTCCATGAAATTCATAGAGAAGGGTGAATTCGCAAACTTCAATTTCCAGAAGGATTTCCTGCGACCCTTCGAGCATATCATGAAGAAGAATGTATCCCCTACCATACGGGATATGGTTGTGAGATGTATCGCCCAGATGGTTAACTCCCAGGCGAACAACATCAGATCTGGATGGAAGAACATCTTTTCCGTATTCCATTTGGCGGCAGGCGATCAAGAGGAGGCCATCGTCGAGTTAGCATTCCAAACGACAGGAAAGATAATAACGGAATTGTACGATAAGCAGTTCCACGCAATGATCGATTCATTCCAAGACGCTGTGAAATGCCTCTCCGAGTTTGCATGCAACGCGAGATTTCCAGATACAAGCATGGAGGCTATCCGACTCGTGAGGACTTGCGCTTTAAGTGTATACGCTTCTCCTCATCTCTTCGCTGAACATGCCGGAATGGAGAACGATATAGCTGTTGCTGAAGACGACAGGGTTTGGGTCCGAGGATGGTTCCCACTTCTGTTCTCTTTATCCTGCGTTGTTAACAGATGCAAATTGGACGTGAGAACGCGCGCTTTAACAGTATTATTCGAGATCGTGAAGACGTACGGCGATACCTTCTCTCCGCATTGGTGGAAGGACTTGTTCAAGGTCCTGTTCCGCATATTCGATAACATGAAATTACCCGAGCAGCACACAGAGAAAGCAGAATGGATGACTACAACATGCAATCACGCACTTTACGCTATTGTCGATGTCTTCACGCAATATTTCGATATGCTGGGACCGTTGCTGCTGGAGGAATTGTACTCGCAGCTGCATTGGTGCGTTCAACAGGAAAATGAGCAGTTGGCTCGATCAGGAACAAACTGCTTGGAAAATCTGGTCAACTCGAATGGGCAAAAGTTCACTGAGAACACCTGGGATAAGACCTGCCAATGCATCCTGGACATCTTCAACTCCACCGTTCCAAGTGCTTTACTCACTTGGAAACCGGACTCTATCCAGACGACAGCTATAATCGAGCAGAACGGTGAGATCGGCTCCAGAGGAATACTGAAAAGGACGAATCTGCACGATTCTCGAGGCGGCGAAAGCAACTTCTTCAACGGACTCATAATCAAAAGCGCAGTCCAATTGGAACTGATTCAAACCATTGACAACATCGTATTTTATCCGGCCACCTCGCGTAAAGAAGACGCAGAAACTCTGGCTTTGGCTGCTGCAGACATGGCTGGTAGCGGAAATCTCACCGAGTGCCAAAGAGAAGAGCAGGGAATGTACAGGGTTCTCAATTCCCCGCACCTAATACAACTCACTGAATGTCTGCTACAATCACATAGGTAAGAGATCAATCATGGAACTAATAATTAAATTAATTATTATTTCATTTTCAGATTTGCAAAGCAATTCAACATGGACCATGAGCAGAGAAACATCTTATGGAAAGGCGGTTACAAAGGATCGGTGAAACCGAATCTTTTGAAGCAGGAGACTCAAAGTTTAGCTTGTTTGCTGCGAATCCTTTTTAAGATGTACTGCGATGAGAGCCGTCGAGATCATTGGTCTGTGATCCAGGTGCGATTGATATCCGTTTGCCAGGAAGCTTTGGAGTACTTCTTGAAGCTACAGAGTGAGGCGCATCGCGAAACTTGGACTTCGCTGCTCCTTTTGGTCCTGACGAGGCTTCTGAAGATGCCAGACGATAGAGTAAATATCCAATTTCTATCTCAAACAATGAAATGTGAAAACACTGCTTTTTCGAACGTTTTAATTTCAATTTTTCAACTTTGAACGCGTGTTACAGCAATATGGAAAAGAGCA